TTGACGAATCGAAATACACTTATATCTTAATTATACACCTGACATTAATTCATGTGTATGTACGATATATACGAGAGAAAAAAAAGTATAGTCTCTCACCGTCATAGTTCATATTCCGGACATTCCGATGTCGTGACATTTTTGCAGTCGATGGATTCCAACCACTGTGAACGCCCTCGTGTGTCTATTCTAGTATCCGCTGGCAGTGCTACTCTCACACTTGCACTCGCAGAAACTACACCAAATAGGTGCACACAGACTTCTATTATACGATAATAGGCGTGTGTCCCGTGAAGTCTTTGTGACATCACTATTTTTACAAAATCTAAAGTGTAAAAACTAAAAAAATGTATGTATTTTTTAACAGTACATATTGGTCTTTCGAAAAAAATAGAATTGTTTTTTTAAAAACATGAATACAATGGCAAATGCCGGTATGTAGCACTATTTAGCATAAACGTTTAACTTTGACACAGAACCGATTTCATATTTCAAATCGTATAGTTTCTGGCAACTGCCCTAAATACACTTCAATAAATAAATCCTAATTTCAAATTTTTAACACAATGCCTTTTTTTACATTGCTTTTTTAGGGCCGACTAGCACCTCGCATCAACAAAAAAGGCCACCACGAGGTAAATGTACATACTACATACCTGTACCATGATAAATTTCTCAAAGGCCGCACCTAAAACAATGCCAAGGCCACTATTATTATATATATATATATAAAAGTACACCTCATAAAAAAAAGCATAAATAGCCTCCTAAATAGACAAAAAAAACTGTTGAACCAGTTTTTCACCACGTAGGCGCTATTCCACCTAGATTACCAACAAAGCATAATCGAAGCGCAAGACATATGAGAAAGATGTTCCAGCGCAAGAAGATAACCGGTGGTTGTGATGGTTGCGTGTACGGCTCATGTCGGTAGAAGCTGTAAGTTCGATTCTGATCATGTTTTGATACATAGCCTTCTAAAATAGAACAGATGAACTTTTAAATTTTTTTACTGGGAGCTTCGACCATCTCATTGGCCTAGAAAATTTGGCGCGAATTTTGTTTCCAAAACTACAGAGTGTGTCTCATTGTTTTGAAAAAAAAACTAGCTAAAACAGTCACCTACGGGCACTTTTTGGGTGAGAACGCAATATTGTGTTTCTGCACACGTCTCGGCGAGTCGGCGGCCTCGCGCAGAAATGTCTCTATCTCGGCCACTACTGTGAAGGCCCAGATTAAGGACAGTCCTTAGAATTACGTACTCTAAAAATTCTGATCTTTGATTGGTCAAGTTCAACAATAGCGCCTCTTGTGCAGAAAACGGAAACTTGCCGGCTGCCGGGACGGTTTATGCACGAATTAAATAAGTATTACCCGCAGTTTTCAAGTAGTGGTTGTGTGCTTATGGCTTCCTGTCGAAGTCTCCAGCCGGCAAACTATACCACGCGTTGTCCCAAGCCTCGCAATAACGCTATACTAAACGACGGCTAGAGGTATTTTCCGTACTAAGAGAGATTGCCCAAACGCTGCATCACCGCTTGTTCTCCACCCACCATACTGACTCTGCCTGTCGTATGGACTGCCCATGGAGCCCAAATCTCACGTCTTCGCTCAGGCCCAGGCCCAGCCCACACTACACACATCGACAAATAGTGGTACTTTTTTATATATTAAAAACTGAAAGCACAGTTCCATACCCGCTCACTCTCCAATGTTTAATTGTTTATTTAAAATGAAGGTACAAAGATAACAAATAAAACATGCACAGCGCTGCGGCCTCTGGTCGCTAAATCAAACCTCTCTCTCTCTCTCTCTCTCTCGTA